AGCAGCAGCAGCAGCAGCAGCAGCAGAAACAGCAGCAACTTGCCAGTAGCTGCTGCTGCAGCAAAATTCTGAGGCCTGGGCAGCATATTCCAGGGGCAGGACAGCCCCCAAGCCTTAGGGAGCGCAGCAGCATCTGCAAAAGCCAAAACGCAGCAGGCACTGCTGCTGCTGCTGCTGCACCAGTAGCAGCAGCAGATGCAGCAATAGAGGCAGCAGAGACTGCTGCTGCTGCAGCTCTGCTGAACAGCAACATCCACCTCACCAACACCCCTTACTCAGCAGGAATCGCTGCCGCCGCCGCCGCCGCCGCCGCCGCAGCAGCAGCAGCAGGAGCAGCAGCAGCAGCAGAAGCAAGAGGCGGCCGTACCTGAGCAACAGCACGGGAGCTGATATAATCTGCTGCAGTAAAGACCACCAATTTGATGAACTTCGAATGAAAGTGCTGCTGCAGCCGAACACACTTAAGTTCTTGCTGCTGCCCAATGCGCACAAAGCCAGCTCGGGTGTACGTACACCTCAGGTACGCAGCAGCAGCTGCAGCAGAAGGTGCTGCAGCAGCAGCCACGGGACAGCACATGCAGCGGCAGCAAACGTTGCATGTCTCCCCTGTCCCGGGTGCTGCTGCTGCGCTGCTGCCTGCTGCTGCTGCTGCTGGTGCTGCTGCTGCTACTGGCGTAGGATTTGAGGGGTTCTGTGCATTGCTGTCGAGCCACTGCGGCCACACAGGAACAAGCAGCAGCAGCAGAGGCAGCAGCAGCAGCAACAACAACAACAGCAGCAACAGAGATGGCGCTCTTAAAGAGGAATGTTTCTTTCTTTGGCCTTATGCTGGCACAGCAACTCATATTCCGGGGTTTAGGGTTTAGGGTTTAGGGTTTAGGGTTTTATACCACTTCCACTTTGGCTGGACCTTGAGCAGCAAACTGAAGGCAAAAGATGCGGCAGAGGCCCCCAAGAGCCACACCCACTTCGTAGCCTTCGCTGCAGCAGCAGCAGCATGAGCAGCAGAAGCAGCAGCAGCAGCAGCCGTACTAACAGCAGCAGCGTAAAGAAGACGGAAAAAAGAGCAGTGGGAGCTCGAAAGCAGCAAATGGTGTGCACTCAGCAGCAGCAGCAGCAGCAGCAGCAAGTACCTATGGGGGCAGCAAATCACCTGCTGTAGCTGCAGCAATCACAGCAGCATCCGCCTGCTGCGTCTGCAGCAGTTTTGCTGCCGCTGCATGTCGCTGTGTAAACCACAGTGTGTAGAAGCTGCTGCGGCTTTCGGCAGCAGCAGCTGCTGCGTTTTCCAGTGAAGTGGGGGAGTTGCTGCTGCTGCACCAACAGCTGCTGCTGCAGCTGCTGCGGCATCTGCTGCTGGAATAGTAGCAGCTCCTGTTGCTGTTGCTGCAGCTGCTGCTGCGACGGAACGTCATATGCTGCAGCAGCAGCCGCAGCATTTGCTGCAGCAGATGCCAACCAGCTCTTGAGGTGTTGAGGCTCCGCGTGCTGCTCCGGAATTTGCTGCTCTTTTTGCTGCTGCTGCTGCTGCTGCTCTTGCTCAGGTTCGCCTGTCTCCTGCTGCTCTCGCTGCTGCTGTTGTTGCTGCTCTTGCTGCTGCTCCTGTTGCTGCTGCTGCTCTTGCTGCTGTTCTTGCTGCAATTCTTGCTGCTGCCCTTGCTGCTGCTTCGCTTGCTGCACCTGCTGCTTTTGTTCTTGCCGCTGCTTCCGGAGCCTCAGGCTTTGCCGGCGCCAATGGCTTGTCCACCTGCGGGCGGGGGCCTCGGGGTAACTCTGCTGTTGCTGCTGCTGCTGCTGCTGCTGCTTCTGTTGCTCCTGCTCCTGCTCCTGTTGCTGCTGCTCCTGTTGCTGCTGCCGCTTCTGCTGCTCTTGTTGTTGCTGCTGCTGCTCTTCAGGTTGGGGCTCTGGAGGTGGCATCTTCGGCTGTGTTAGACATAAGGCCTCTGACGGTGTTGCGGCTGTCGCATTTGTTGCTGCTGCTGCTGCCGCTGCTGCTGCTGCTGCTGCTGGCTCCCTGCAGCAGCCACAGGTGCAGCTATTGCTGCCGGCTCTGCTCACGCAGCCGTTGCTTTCGCAGCTATTGCTGCGGTTGATCTGAGGGAGCTGCTGCTGCCGCTGCTGTCGATGCAGCTGTTGCTGCTGTTGCTGCCGCAGATGCTGACGGAGCTGCTACTGGAGCAGCTGGTGCTGCTGCTGTTGGCGCAGCCGTTGCTGCTGCGGCTGACGCGGCTGATGCTGCTGCTGCTGCTGGCGATGCCGCTGGTCTCGAGTCCCTAGTGAGCGATGGCACAAGCTGCAGCTGCAGCAGCTGCTGCTGCTGCCAGTAAAACAGTCTGTCTCCGCTCCTTTAACTCAAGGGAGCCCAGACACAGTAGAGACATGGCAGATGCAGCAGCAGCAGCGGCAGCAGCAGCAGCAGCACCAGCAGGGATCGCAGCAGCAACGAGCCTGCGTAGGGTGCACACGGCGACTTCGCCTGCACATAAACAGTTGCTGCAGCAATTATGTGCCTTAATCAGCAGCAGCATTTTTTAAACGAGCAGCAGCAGCAGCATCTGCTGCTGCTGCTTCTACACTGGCAGCGCCCGTGCCTCGAGTCGGCTGTGACCCTATGTGCAACAGCAGCAGTAGCAGCAGCAGCAGCTGCTGCTGCTGCAAGAGCAGCAAAAACCTCCAAATAAACTCAGCATGGTATGTTAAAAAATCAAAATGTTAATAAATGAGCGGATTTCGGATAAGGCGGCAGCAACAGCGGCAGCAGCAGCAGCAGCTGCTGCTGCTCCTGCTGGGCATACAGATCTGGCCAGGCCCCGAGACACAGCAAGGCCCAGCAGCAGCAGCTGCCGCTGCTGTTGCCACAGACAGGTAAATTTTTTGATGAAGTCGAACTTTTAATGCATTTTCTGCTGCTTCTGGAGCTGCAGCAGCAACAGCAGCACTGTTGCTGCTCGTGAGGCGGACGTAGGAGGCTGCTGCCGGCAGCAGGAGCAGCAGCAGCTGCAGTAGTGGCAGCAGCAGCAAAGGCAGCAAGCAGAAGCACAAATTCTGCAGCAACAGGGGCTTCCAGCATCGGCCAGCTGGGACCCACACCGAGAGCCACAGCAGCAGGCGCAGCCGCAGCAGCAGGGCAGAGCAACAGCAGCAGCGGCAGCAGCAGCAGCAGCAGCAGCAGCAGCAGCCTTTCTATACTCTGAAAGTAGATGGCCTCGAAGGTCTCACCACGGCTGCAGCAGCAGCAACAGCTGCTGCCGCTGCTGCTGCTGCTGAGCTGCAGTTGCTGCTGGAGGCAGTCTGCATGCATCTCGCTGCAGCAGCCAGCCGCTCCTGCAAGTGTTCTTAGAACACACCCCATGGCAGCACAGCAGCAGCAGCAGCGGCCGCAGCAGCTGCAGTACGCAGCACCAGCAGCGCCGCCTATGGCTTTTGTAAAAAGCAGCGGAAATGCATCTTTTCTGCAGCAGCAGCAGCAGCAGCAGCAGCAGGGGCCCTTCGCCTTCTTCAGCTCCCCACAGCAGCAGCAGCAGCACGTGGTGCTATCGCAGCCAGTGCAGCAGCAGCTGCTGCTGCAGCAGCTGCAGCAGCAGGAAGCGCCTTCCGCTGCAACCCGTTTGATGTACCAAGTCCGCTTGAAAACACCTGAAGGTTCGTTGCTGCTGCTGCTGCTGCTGCTGCACCGCTGCAGGTAGTGCCGCTGCTGCTGCGTCTGGACATGCGGTTGCTGCTGCTGCTGCTGCTGCTGCTGCAGGAGAAGAGCACACTGTAGAGTGTGCAGAAGATGAATACATTTTGGATGCAGCAGAAGCAGCAGGAATTGATTTGCCCTACTCTTGTAGAGGAGGCTCTTGCAGCACCTGCGCAGGTAGGCTGCTGCTGCTTTTGCTGCTGCTGCTGCTGCTGCTGCTGCTGCTGCTGCTGACAGTGTTTGCCTGCTGCTACGTGTGCTGGTTCTTGCCGGCATGCCGGTGTGCGGCTGGTGCTGTTGCTGCTGCTGCTGTTGCTGCTGCTGCTGTTGCCGGTGCCACCTGAGCTGCTGTCCGCCTCACCGCTCGCCCCTGCTGCTGCCCCCACCGCCGCCCCTGCTGCCGCTGCTGCTGCTGCTGCTGCTGCTGCTGCAGGCAAGCTGCTGGAGGGCTCTATAGACGGGACAGAACAAAGCTACTTAGACGAGCAGCAGCAGCAGCAAGGGTTTGTGCTGCTGTGCACTGCTTACCCCAAAAGCGACTGCACAGTTCTCACGCACCAAGAAGACGCGCTGCACCAGCCTCCAGACCCTAAACCCTAAACCCTAAACCCTCGCCGGGCCTCAAACCCTAAACCCTCGCCCCTCTCCAGACCTTCAAACCCTAAACCCTAAACCCTCGCCAGGGCCCAAAATCTAGCCAGGCGCTAGACCCTAGCGGCTGCTCCCGTAGGCCCCGGAGCGCCTCTAAACCCTAAACCCTCGCTGAACCCTAAACCCTCGCTGAACCCCAAACCCTCGCTGAACCCTTGGAAAAATCCTAAACCCTAAACCCTCGCCAGCTCTCTGATATGCGAGATTAGGCACCCCCTGACTCAGTCGGGGCGCGAGGGCTGGAGCTCCATCTAAACCCTAAACCCTAAACCCTAAACCCTTTCTAAACTGTAAACCCTCGGACTCTTTTCCATACTGCTACTTTATTCGCTGGACAGTTAAGAGAAAGCCTAGCGTATCTGTTCTCTCTAGCAGCAGCAGCAGCAGAAGCAGCAGCAGCAGCAGAAGCAGCAGCAGCAGCAGAAGCAGCAGCAGCAGAAGCTGCAGCAACAACAGCAGCAGCAGCAGCAGCAACAGCAGCAGCAGCAGCAGCAGCAGCATGCGCTGTCGCTCTGGCCGACCTGCCTTTATATCGAGGGTTTGTAGGCGTCATAAGGGCAAGCAAAAAGCTAGGCAGCCAGCTAGCCAGCCAACCAGCCATCAGCTAGCTAGCTAGCTAGCTAGCCAGCTAGCCAGCTAGCTAGCCAGCCCGCTAGCTAGGTGGCCAGCCAGCTAAGCCGCCAGCCAGTCAGGTGGCTAGCCAGGTAGCTAGCTAGCTGCCCAGCTAGCTGGCCAGGGGTGCTGTTAGCTGCTTGGCTAGCCAGATAGCTAGCTAGCCAGCTAGCCAGCTAGCTAGCCAGCTACCTGAGTAGCTAGCTAGGTAGCCAGCTAGCTAGCTGTCAGAGTAAGGCCGAATGCTCGCCATGGGGTGTTGGGGTGTACGTACACCGCAGAAGCCACAGGGTGTTAATGCAGAAGCACAATTGGGGAACCTGTTGCATCACTTTTAATCTAATTTTAATTTAATTTTAATTTAATAATTTTAGAATTAAGTTTTGCTGCAGAAGGGCCTGGAAGCAGATATAAATGAATACTTGCTGCGCCGCGGCGGCCAGCCGGGACCGTGGGCTGCTGCTCGCAAGCAGCAGCACCACCTGCTGCGACAGCTGCTGCACCTGTTGCTGCTGCTGCAGCTGTTCCTGCTGCTGCTGCTACTCCTGCTGCAGTTCCTGCCGCTGCTGCTACTCCTACTGCAGTTCCTGCTGCTGCTGCAGTTCCTGCTGCTCAGCGGCTGCTGCTGGTGCAGCTGCTGCTGCTTGTGAGGAGCTCGAAGGAAGCTGCTGCGGAGGAGAGCCGGGTGTACGTACACCCTAGACTCTGCAGGCAGCAGAAGCCTCAGCAACAACAGCAGCAGGAGAAGGAAGAGCAGATCCGAACTGAACCAAAAGAGGAACAGCAAGAGGAGTAGCAGCACAAGCAGCAACTGCTGCCTGCAGCGTGGCGTCTTCGCCCTGCAGCAGCTTCTGCACCATTTCTGCTGCTCGCTGCTCGTCAGCCAGCTGCGTGCCCCACGTCTTCCCCACTTGGCCTGCACGCACACCCCACAGCTGCCGCTGCTGCTGCTGCTGCTGCTGTGGAGAAGGCTGCAGCGCGGCAGCAGCAGGCGCTGCCGCCCCGCAGGCGGCAGCAGCAGCAGCGCAGGCAGCAACGCGTGCAGAGGCAGCCACACACGGCAGCTGCAGCAGCAACCGCACCCCCATCACCAACAGCAGCAGCAGCAACAGCAGCAGCAGCAACACCAACAGCAGCAGCAACGACGACACCAACAGGAGCAGAAACAGCAGCAAGAACAGCAGAAGCAGCAGTGGATCTGACCTGCGAGGTTGACGAGGAAACACTCTGGATCTACTCCGGTGAGGTTGCAGTCAACGTGGTCGTTAGCTGCTGCAGCGTTGCTGCTGCTGCTGCTGCGTTTGTTGAAGTTTTGGATTCCTTCGGTTTTGCACAAACTGGGAATTGCAGAAAGCGCAGCAGCAGCGCCGGAGAAGTCCTCCTGGGTGTCGAGGAAGGCGAAGAGCATCGCAGCAGGTGACCCTGCGAGGAGGATGTCGGGGCTTATTTCGAAGTCTTGAGCAAAACTGGAAATAAAAAAGGAAATTGAAATAGAAATGAAGAAAAAAGAAGCAAAGATAAGGCCCAGGTGCTGCATTTTCAGCGGCGGAGTGGGGAGCGGACCAGCAGCAGCAGCAGCAGCGGCAGCACGGGAAACTGGAGAGGAAAGCGAGACAAACGAAGATCAAAACCTGAATTCTGTTTTTTTTCGAATGTAAATCAAGACAGTTCACCTTTTGAATGATTTTAATCTAGTAGTTGCGAGTTAGGCAGCAGCAGCAGCAGCAGCAGCAGCACAAGCGGCAGCGACCGCGGGGTCACTGCTGCTGCCGGCTCCGCTATACTGCCGCCGCCGCCGCTGCTGCTGCTGCTGCTGCTGGAATCTATCTCTCTGCGGCTTGCTGCTCGATCGTGGGGTAAACAGAACGCTGTGTTGTTTACTTTGTTTCTTTTTTCATTCTTATTGCAGGTTTTCCCGCACACTTTTGTTCCTTTGCTTCCTTTCCTGTTCTTGCTGCTGCTGCTCTCCGTGCTGCTGCTCGTGCTGCTCTTCCTGCCACTGCTCACCCCCGTGTCTTCTGAAGCAGCGCCGAGTTCGCCTTTTGCTGCTCCCAACTATTACTCCCAGCAGCGGCAGCAGCAGCTGCAGCAGCAGCAGCAATGTCGCGTCTTCTTTCTTTCGCTTTCCTCTTTTTGCTGTTCGAGGCGGCGCAGGGCGCTCACGAAGGCAAGACGCGTTCAGCTCTACATCTTCGTTTCCCTCAGTGTCCCCATTTAAACAAGCAATAATATAAATAAAATAAAAAATAATAAATAATTAAATAAATAAAATAAATAAATGAGTAAATTAAAATGCATATTTCTAGTTCTTAAAAGTTTCACTCGAAAAGATTCCCATGAACACATACATACATGGCTGTTTCAGGTGCTCTCCTGACACCCGAGTGCTTCCCTGCAGCATCGGAAGATGCCACGAACGATGTTCACTTAGAACTTCATTTTTCGAGTTAAAAATGTCTGTTTTTGCAAATTTGTTCTCCCTGTGCTTGTCGTGAACGAACGCGTTGCTTTGCTGCACCAACCGAGCACATGCTCGTTGAAAACCGGAGATTTCGAACAAAAAAGCCGGAAGTCGAAGGCCTGGAGCCCCCCAGCGAAACCTCGAGCGTCGCCTCCCTGTCCCGTTTGCCGCTTGCTTGACCGCAGGCAGCGCCAGCCACCCCCCCAGCAGCAGCAGCAGCAGCAGCAGCAGCAGCAGCAGCAGCGTGGACGTGGACTGCAAGGGCGGCTACGGCGCGTGGTCCCCCTGCGAGCCGCTGGAGGGCCACGACACGCACCACGACTCCGAAGACGAGTTCAACTTGCAAAGAGGGCCCGACGGCCACTTCGTGGGCGAGTGCTTTCAGTTCCGCACTTTCCACGTCATCACTGCAGCGCGGGGCCGCGGCAACAGCTGCAGCAGACGCGACGGCGCGAAGGCCTTTCGCTACTGCAGCGACTGCAGCGCGGTGCCTGCGGTGTACAGACACCTGGGCGCGCCGCCGCCCGCGCCCGCCCTGCGCTTCTTCGCGCTCCTCGCGGCGCTCTTTTGCCTCTTCGCCACGCTGCTCTTCGTCGCGGTTTGCTTCCGCAAGCTGCTGCAGCAGCAGCAGCAGCAGCAGCAGACCCGCATCCCGCTCTACCCGCCCCAGTCCAGCGCCAGCCTCCACCCCGACACTGCAGCAGCAGCGGCGGACTCCAAGGGCTTCGCGCCCGCCCCGGACGAACTCACCCAGGCCGCTGCAGCGAGGTGAGCGCCGCTGCTGCTGCTGCTCCAGCAGCAGCAGCTGCTGCTGCTGCAGCGACGCAAGCCGCCCAGCCGAAGCCGCGCTGCTGCTCCCCCGGAGCCGCCCGCACCAACGTCCAGCAAGGGCAGAAGCTGCTCCTGCGGAGCCAGCAACAAGGCTAGCTGCTGCTGCTGCTGCTGCTGCTGCAGCAAACAGCGAGCTGTGCAGAGCCACAGCTAGCTACAAAGGTATCGCCAAGCTGAAGGTTATCACAGCTAGCCACGCCTAGCGCACAGTGCTCACAGCCAACTCGAGGTACGTACGGCTAGCCACAGCTAGCCACAGCTAGCCACAGCTAGCCACAGCTAGCCACAGCTAGCTGCTGCAGCCGCTGGAGATGAAGTGCGGCTGCAGCAGCAAAGGGCGCAGACAGGTGGAGCTGAAGGCCCTACAAGGGGAACTATCCCCAACTGAGATCTTTCTTAAGTTTTAAACTTCACCAAAGCGTTACATAGCAGCAGCAGCAGCAGCAGCAGCAGCAGCAGAGCCTGCCAGTGCGGGCGTGTAAGCCAGAATCATCTGCAGCCAAGAGCCAAAGTGCGAACAAGTAGAAGCAGCAGCAGCAGCAGCAGCACTATCTGTATCTGCACAACTCAGCCACCTATCTTCTAGCCTCCTGCAGCCGCTGCAGCAGCAGCAGCAGCAGCAGCAGGCTGCACCGCGAAGCAAAAAGGAAATAAGAAGGGGCAGGTCTGAAGAGTTTAGCGAGCGAGGACTCTGCTTCTTTCTCTGCGGGCCCTCATCTCCTGCACCGTTGCTGCTGCTGCTCCCGCCAGCACCTTCGAAGTCCCCACAACAGCACCGACTGCATGCGTTGTTGCTGCAGCAGCAACTGGAAATATTTGCGGCACCCGCGCTATCGCCATGTCCACTCGCGGCAGCAGCGGCAGCACCATTTCCGAGTACTCGCCCCGCTGCTGCAGCTGACGCGCCTCCTCCCGCGCTGCTGCTGCTGCTGCTGCTGCTGCTGCTGCTGCTGCTGCTGCTGCTGCTGCTGGGTTGCCCGCCGCCACGCTTGATGAAGCTTCCGCGCTTGCTGCAGCTGCGGGAGTAGTTGCTGGAGCTTGCTTGTTTGCTGCTGCTGCTGCTGCAGCTACTGCTGCTACTGCTGCTTCCTTTTCGAACTCTGGCGCTGCAGCTTCCTCGTTGGCTTTTGCTGCTGCACCTGCTTCTCTGTCTTCCGCCGCTGCAGCCTCCTCTCCGGCTTTTGGTGCTGCAGCAGCCTCGTGAACTTCAGCTGCTGCAGCATCTCGTGCTGCAGCTGCTTCGCTCGCTCCCGCTGCTGCAGCTGCTTCGCTGGCTGCTGCTGCTGCAGCTTCCTGATCAGCTTCTGGCGCCGCCGCTTCCTCGCTGTCCTTCGGCGTCTCAGCTTGCTTGCTGTCCTTTGCTGCTGCAGTCTCCTCTGTGGCTTTTGCTGCTGCTGCTTCCTCTGTGGCTTTTGCTGCTGCAGCTTCCTCCGTGGCTTCTGTTGCTGCACTTTCCTCGCTCGCCGGCGCAGCAGCTGCTTCGTTAGATTTTACCAATTCGAGCTTCTCACTTGCTGCTTCTTCTGGTGCTTCTGCTGCTGCTGCTGCCGTTGTTGCTGCTGCTGCCGCACTTTCCTTGGTTTCTGCCGGCGCAGCTGGCGCTGCTTCTGCAGGCTCTTCAGCTGCAGCTGCTGCTGCTGGTGCTGCTTCTGCAGGCTCTTCAGCTGCAGCTGCTGCTGCTGGTGCTGCTTCTGCAGGCTCTTCAGCTGCAGGTGCTGCTGCTGGTGCTGCTGCAGATTTGCGCTCTTGCGCCTCTAGGTTTTGCTCGCCAGTTGCTTCCTTTGCTGCTGCTGCTGCTGCTGCATCCTTTCCTGTGACTTCTGGCGCTGCTGGAGCTGCTTCTTCCCCGCTTTTCTTTGTTGCTGAGGCTCCAGCTTTTGTCTCGATTTCTTCTTTCTTTGCAGAAGGTTCCTCGTTTCCTGCTGCAGTGGTTACCTTCGCCGCAGCTGCTGCTGCTGCTGCTTCTTCCTTTGCAGAAACTGCTGCTGCGTCCCTCGCTGCAGCAACTTCTGCTGCTGCAGTCTTGTCTTGAGCTGCTAAAGCCACCAATTCTGCCTTTTTGTCTGCAACAGTGACTGCAGCAGCCTCAGCAGGCGATTTGGCCGTAGCAGCTTGAGCAGCAGCAGCTGCTGGTGCTGCTGCAGCCACCGTAGGACTTGCTGCTGCAGCGGGTCCTACAGCAGCGGTTGTGGTTTTTGGTTTCCCGCGCATCTTTCTCTCCGCTTCATTTCTTATTTCTTCTGCTGCTGCTGTTTCCCTGCCCTTGGCTCTCTTCAAAGCTGCATTTCGTGTTGCACCTCCTGCTTCTCTGCGAGGGACATTTGCTGTTGGAGCTGCGTTTTGGCTAGCTGCTGCAGCTGCTGCTGCGGGCCTGTTAGCTGCTGCTGCTGGTGCTGCAGCGTTGCTAGCTTCTACCCTCGGCGCTGCTGCAGGGGTCGCTCCCTTTTCCGTCGGTTTGGGCTGTGCTGCTGACGGAGCCTTGGCTGCTGCTACTGGTCCACTTGCTGCAGCTGTTGCTGCAGCTGTTGCTGCAGCTGCTGGCGCTGCTGTTGCTGCTGCTGCTGCCGGATCTGCGCGACTCTGCTTGGGCTTCGCGGGGGCGTTTTGCTGCTGCCGGTCGGCCCTCTCTCCAGCCAACAGATCCACGAGGCCGTTGACAGCTTGCTGCACATTAACTCCTTCCATTGCTTCTTTAAAGCCTTCAGTTGGAGGCTGCAAGACTGTCTTTGCAAGAGAAGTGGCTGCGTCGGAGAGAAAGACGAGGGCCTGGGGGTTTTCGCGGGCTGGGGGGCTGCGGACTGCTGCCTGCAGCACGTCTGCTGCAGCAGCAGCAGCAGCAGCAGCAGAAGACGAAACAAAGTCCGACAGCACTGAGTCCACCGCCTTCCGCACTGCAGGGGAAACTGTATTCAGCAAAAAGGACAAGTCGAAGGAGACGAAGTGCAGCAGGTCTTTGGGGTCCCCGGACTCTGCGAAATTTCAGAAAGTTCAAAAGTTGAATTATTCATGATTAATTTGCAATAATTGTCTTTTACTTTATTCTGAACTATTCTCAGCAGAAAACTTATTACGTTCTATTTTACCCGCTGAGTCCTCGTCCTCTTCGTCAGATTCTTCCGAGAAAGAAGTGTCTTGTGGCTGAAGAGTTCAAAATTTGCATTTTGCAAAAAAGTTGAAATTGTCCTTTTCGGACTTACAGCATTCTGAGTGTTTGCATTTCGTGAAGTGCTGGGGCCTGAAATGCAAATAAAAGCAAAATAAAAGAAACTGCAGGCTGCGGCGCTGCAGTAATTCAGGCCTACCTCGTGATGGGGAAAGAAACGTTTCTTGTTGGCCAGCTTCCGGGGCTCCGGAAACTGCGGGAAAAGCCGAGCAAAAAAATGCGAAGGAAATTGAAATGTAAAAGGCGAAAATTGCAGGCGTGGACTTCATCTTTGTAGCTCTACTTCTAACGTTGGAACCGCGATATTCAGAGCAACACCTCCGTCCTCTCAATGTTCAAAACAGGGAAAGCTAGAAAAAAACAAGGCTTCCGAGGCCTCTTCAAGACGGATTTGCAGCAAAAGGTAGTAAGAATGATTAATTAAAGCAGTTAAGCTTAAAACAATTAAGAACGATTCACCCCGACGACACTTGAAAAAGTGAACCGCTCAAGTGCTTGCAGGTTTCGAACTTCCCAACCCTTTCGGGTGTACCGACACATATGTTCCATTGCAAAGACGAAACAGCAATGACACAAATGACATATTTCTCTTTCGTTTCTTGCTGCCTACATTGCCATACTTTTATTTACACTCTCTAAAGTTAAAATCTGCACTCTCCCGATGCTCTGCGGCGTGTTCTGTTACCCCGCTAGCCCGTCCGATTTCAGAAACTTCCGGAACACTAAAAGAATTTCTGGTGCTTTTCAATTACTATTTTTTATTAATTTTGAAAACTGCAGAGTTTTAATCGCGCTAAAGGTTCGTATGCACCGGTGGACCGCTGGTTTCCACTCCGAACCACTCAGAGGCATTGGGGCTGCAGCCGCATGTCCACAAAGACAGCCCTAGCCTTAACAAGAAGGAGATCGCTCGAATTCTCTCCTTAAGCCTTTTTATTATTTCCCGAATTCCTTTGCTTTTATTTTGCAGAGCCTTTGCTGAGTTGAAGACAGTTAAAGCATTTCGGCATAAATTTTGGCCCTGCTAAAGAGCTTCGGTCGTTTGACTGTGCAGATCTTCGAGCTGGCCAAATCTTCGCTTCTGCTTCCATTTAATTATATTCCTTTTAAGAGAAGATGGAGTCTTTCTAGAGGGGCTTGTGGTTGCCGCTGCAGCTGCTGCTCCAGACCCGCAGCAGCAGCAAAGCCGCAGCAGCAGCGCAGCAGCAGCAGCAACAGCGCAGCTGCAGCAGTGCTGGTTGCGTTGGCTGTCTCATCCCGCTGGGGCTTTCCTCTCGCAGCGCCATTTCCCGCGAACTGGCTTGCCGCTGCCCCCTTGCTGCTGCTGCTGCTCCCCCGCTGCTGCTGCTGCTGCTGCTGCTGCTCCAGGGGGATGTGGTACGGGCAAATCGTGATCGGCCCACCGGGCAGCGGGAAGAGCAGCTACTGCAGCGGGATGCAGCAGCTGCTTGCTGCGCTGCAGCGGCAGCAAATAGTTCTCAATTTGGACCCCATGAATGATTTGCTGCCATATAAATGTGCCATAAATGTTAAAGACTTAATTGACGGCGAAGAAGTCATGCGCAGCCACCAGCTGGGCCCAAACGGCGGTCAGACGCTCCCCCTGCTGCTGCTGCTGCTGCTGCTGCTGCTGCTGTGCCCCCGACCGCTCTGCTGCCGCCGCTGCTGCGGATCGTCATTTGAATTCAGCTTTTGCTGCTGCTGCTTTCTTGCTGCTGCTGCTGTGGGGAATTCTGAACTGGAAGGCCCAGCAGTGGCTGCGTTTCCTGCTGCTGGGGTTTAGGGTTTAGCGTTTGGGGCCACGGGTCAAGGGTTTAGGGTTTGCAGCCGTGGAACTAGGGTTTAGGGCTTGCAGCCGCGGGACTGGGGTTAGGGTTTGCAGTGGCGGGTTTAGGGTTTAGGGTTTGGCTGCACGTGCACAGTGGATGATGGAGTTTCAGAGAAGTAAATATGCAGGGTTTGGGGTTTAGGGTTTAGGGTTTAGGGTTTGCGTGAAGTGTCTTCTAAATTTGTTTCATAAAATTTAAAAGTGAACCTCTGCAGTGTACGGACACCTGAAGCGAGCTGGGGTGTATGTGCAGCTATGATATACTGCATGGAATATTTGCTGGAGAATATTGACTGGCTAGTTGAAAAGCTAAATGCCTTTAAAAGTAAGCAGCTGCTGCTCGTGCTGCTGCTGTCCTGCTGCTGCTGCTGCGTCTGCTGCGCCTTTTGCCGCGCTTCCCGCTGCTGCTGCTGCTGCTGCTGTTTCCGCTAGTGCTGCCAGTACAGCCAACTACAGTTCTTGCTGTCGCAGCAGCAGCAGCAGCTGCTGCTGCTGCTTGTACTGTGCACTCTAATCTTGCACAGCAGCAGCAGCAGCAGCAGCTGCTGCTGCTGCTGCTGCTGCTGTGTAGGCTGGCTGCTGCAGCAGCTGCGTTAGCATCAGTTTGCTGCTGCTGCAGTTTTGTGTCTCTCAGATCATTATGTGCTGATTGACTGCCCCGGCCAAGTCGAACTCTTCACTCACCACGACGCCCTGCGCAGCATTATCAGACACCTCGAATCCCTTGACTTCAGAGTAAGCAGCAGCAGCAGCAGCAACAACAGCAGCAAAAGCAGCAACAGCAGCAGCAGCAGCAATCGCCGTGAAGGCCGCTGCGGAAGCAGCTTCAACAGCGTTAAACAGGATCAGTATGAAAGCAAGGCGATTTGCGTTGCTGTAGCAGCGAGAAAGATGCAGCAGGAATGCAAACCAAGGAAGCTGCAGCAGCAGCAGCAGCGGCAGCAGCCGCAGCAGCAACAGCAAGTGAAATTGCTGCATCATTAATCCAGTCTAATAGTCATTTGGGCTTCTCTTTTTGTGTTGCTGCAGATGGCGGCCGTGCAAATTGTGGACAGCACCTTGTGCACAGACGCATTCAAAGTAAGCAGCAGCAGCAGCAACAGCAGCAACAGCTGCAGCAGCAGCATCTGCAGCAGCGGCATCTGAAGCAGCAGCGTGTCTCACTGCAGATGCATCACGAGGCGTTGCTGCGGCGGCCACTGTTGCCGCCTCCAAAGCCTCAATGCCAGCTCTAAGGTGCTGCTGCTGTGCCATTCGCTGTTCGTGTTGCTGCTGCTGCTGCTGTTGCTGCTGCAGCACATCAGTGCCTTGCTGATGGCCTTGAACGCGCAGCTGCAGCTGGAGCTGCCGCACGTAAACGTTTTGTCCAAAGTGGATTTGCTGCGGCTGCACAGAAAGGACCTAAGTGAGGCTTTTTGGCTTGCTAGCTGCGCAGCAGCTGTTGCTGCGGCTGCTGCTGCTGCTGCAGCGGCTGCACCCCTGCTGCTGCTGCAGCTGCTGCAGTAGCAACCCAGCCCCTGCTCGTGCTGCAGCTGCTACAGCGGCAACCCAGCCTCTGCTGCTGCTGCCGCTGCTGCAGGGGCGTTGACTGCTGCAGCCGTAGCAAGAATAGCAGCAGCAGCAGCTACTGGGGGCAAGGCAGCAAATTTTGTCTTTGCTTTTTTGCTGCAGAATTTCGTCTAGAGTTTTATGCGGATGCCTACGAGCTGCAGCCGCTGCTGCAAGCCGTGCAAGAAGACCCACACCCTTTAGGCGTAAGGCTGCTGCTTGTGCTGCTGCCGCTGCTGCTGCTGCTGCAGTTGCTGCTGACTTGCTGCTGTATGCTTAAATTCATATTCATGTCTATATATCTTCGATGGACAACTAAATTTGCCTGCATGTCTTCCCAATATATATATATATATATATGTATGTAAGTTCAACTATATATATATATATATATAGTTGTACGTACATACATATATATATATATATAGGGAGGGCAGGCAGGCAGACAAATTAAGTAGCGCATGGGAGAGGGGACCCTCTAGA